AGATGGGGGTCGTATTAGGGAGCAGTGAAATCAAAGGTTAAAGAGGGGGTTGTTTGGAAAGATTACGATTCCGTTGGCCACGTTCCAAGGAATCGGACGTCTGTAGCCTTGCTCTTGGAATGAATTAGTTTACGCTGGCAACAACTTTGTTTACTACCAAATAAGGACCAATAGAAATCAATAAAGGTGAATCTAAAAAAATACAAGTGCACCACACTAGTGAATTACCTTGTAAATAAGGCTGTACTCTTTGGCTTTCCTTCGTGGACAGTGAAATCGAACAATGTCAAGCGGTCTCGCTACCAACTCGTAGTAACCGGGTGAGTCAATCGCGTTGTCAAATGGTTCAAATCTAAAGTCAAATTATTAAGACCCTATAAAGGAGAGAACAAACTTGTTATTGTTGTTTGCTAGTCCGTTTTTCTATTTTTGGGGTGAGCCATGCTTTCAATTTAGCTCGAAATGTCAGGAGTTGAATGCGTTCCCAGCTAATCTTCATATGGTCTCCAGGCTATGTTCAATGGGGAGATTCATCCTGAGTGATGTTTGCTGTGGAGCCCAGGAGGCAGAAAGATAATTCGAGCGCGGGGGATCCAGGGATGCAGTTGTATGCAGATGCCGCCTTTGGCCGCTGCGCTAGCTGTGTGCAAATCACAGAAAGATAGAAAGGAAGCAATAGGTTAGAATGGGATAATTTTTGTGCCCTGAACTGCTGAATGAAGGCGAAAAAAGTCGTTAGCCCAAAGCCAGCTCAGCGCTTTTTTGAACCAGAAGACAAGCGCTTGATCCCAGAGAATGAGTTCAGGTGACAGTAGGAACGAAATTACCTGATTCTCTTACAGGTCACAGGATGGCCACTTACAAGGTCACCTGGTTCTGCATCCGTCAGGGGTGAGCAAAATAATGCCGTAATAGCTCAGAAGCGTAGAGTCCAGATCCCCTGTAGGGTGATCAAGACTCTGTAGGACTTATGGAGCGCAGGTTTCCAAATACCTCCACAATAAAAATTGAATGTCGAGTGCATGGCGTACCCCAAAAAATGAGTAATCGGCTCCAAATCTTTCAACCCGCCCACTTACATTGGATTTGATGAATTCCAGTAGACGTCATGATGATGACCGCGCAAAGCCAATGTGGAAAAATACGACGTGATGATAGCAAACAGCACGCTGAATCGAAAATCATTTGCTGTGCAAATCCTTAAAATGGAAGATTACGTCACACAATTTTGCATAAATGCCTTCCATGCGACGAGAAAATGCAGAAAAGATAAGATACATAGAGAATATTCGATGTCGATTGCAGATTCCATGACAGTCCAGGTGGAGTTGCATGCGCAAAAATTTCATTCGCTTGGGATTCCGTGGGGTGGGCGTGGTCAATTTTCACTCAGAAGAGAACGTGTTTGGACAACCATGTAGGTGTAAGGTATAGTTTGTCTCATATGTATGGGTTTTGAAGTATCAATCGGGGAACTTCAAATCAATAAGCATATCCGCGGCTTTTCCCTATTCACAGTGTTCCACAGTGAAGCATATTTACTAATCTCGTACATATAGCTACAGTCACATTCACTAATATTTTCATGTTCATTGGAAGTGCAGAATGACTGTGGAATTTATGCATGGCCTCGAGGAGCAGAAGGGGGTGCTGTAAGGCGCTTACCTCAAACTCTCGTTATGACTGCTTTTTCACCGACGATTTCGCCATTTCGGGAGTAAATTCGTAAGGTTGAGTCTGCTAGTACTCTCTCAAACGGTCCCGAAACGAACAACCCATTTTCTGCTCCATTTGAACCTTCATTTAATCGGAGGAGACATATCAAAACACCTTGTTAAAAGAATCGTCAGTGAAAATTGTGCTCTTCAGTTTGTCATATGAAAGGCTCTATTTATCCTTACTGCCCACTCCTCAAAAACTGATCCTGATATCAATTGGGAATTTGTTCTCTGGGGATTTCACTGAGAGCTGTTTCCAGGGATGTACGTACGATGGCGCGATCCCATTAGCCTTGGAGCGCACAGGCCATCACTGCCACACACTGATCCGAGCAACTCGTCCGCGCAACACACTTCGTTCCGTTCCTCTCCTGGGGCCATCGGGCAGCAAAAGATATTTCGCTCTTCTTTACAAAACTTCTTGAGACTCAACTGTGATTTTAGGGGCAACAATTATCAGATCGTCCAACCACTGATGTCTAGTAGCTGAGTGATGCGGACGAGTTGTCCGGCCACAGCAGGATTTGACAAGCCTGTGCGCTCCAGTGCCAATGCGATCGCGCCATATGGCGGTCTCCTGCCTCTGGGGATACACCAACACGTGGAGCTCGGATATCACGAAAATTTGGCGCGAAAACGCTTGACGCTCGCGCCAACGCCATTGGCGCTACCACATTAGTTTTGCGCCGGCGCCTGCAGCGCAGAATACAAGCTCACTCGTAACGTCTAACGTGATATCCGGCTCCAAGGTCAAAACTACTCTGACGACAGGTTCTTCAGGCGAACCGTAGTGATCCAAGGTGTTCTGGCGCCTATTGGCGCCGACACTTGTGGCGCGGGCAGCAAGGGTTTTCACGCCAAACAAATGTGCTTTTCGTGTTCTAGGACTCGGACTACCATTGGGGACAATTTTCTTGGCAAATGCTCACCCACGGAAAAACTTTGATAAAGGTCTTGTTAAATTTCTGAGGAATGGGGTCAGTAAAGGGAAAATAGCGCAAAGCGGCGGGTTGTTGCGAAAAAAGACAGCAGGGTCAAGCATCACACACCTTCATAAAAATCCTACATGATCAAGACATGAAGTCAGAAATGCAATTAGATCGTTGAGCCCTTTATGAGGATATGTGCACAATGTCGAACGCAAAAGCTGAGCCTTACCGTATTCCCCAAAGGTCCAGGGAGGAGCTCCTGTTAAGCTCCAGGACCTTCTGAAACATGCAACTAATAGGAAAAGTGTAAAAAAAACAACTTTTGCTACTTATTAGGTATCGTCTAGCATAAAAACTTTCCAGTGTGGGTTATTCATGGGATCAGGCTCGACAAAAATTAGTGTATCAGGACTCTATTATCAAAGAAAATTGGTAGCATTTCTCGATTCCATACTCTTACTTTGTCTCTAATTAGGTTGAAGGAATTTAACAAGTTTTGATTTTACATGTGTGGAAACTCGCAGCGAAACGTATATAATCATAAAAAGGCCAGGATCAAAAGTTGCTACACCTGCTCAAACGACATCCAACAACCTCAATAATGCCACAAAAAAGTCTAATGCATTGGCGCATCCTGACTGCCTAATCTTATTTTCACCGCTACAATTTTCTTTATCCAACATTTAGCTCTACAATACAGTGCTAGAAGGCGGAAAACAATGCTCGGGCTTTGGCTCGTGAAAAAAGCTGCTTGGTGTAGTGGGACAAGACAAAAAAAGCAGTCAATGTGGGTGACACCTTTCAAGCGTTCAAGCCGTTTTAAGTAGGTGTGGCGTAGACTAGCAGGAAAATCGATGTCGACCCCGACACCAAATCAGTAACTTTTCACAAACCAGCGCATGAAGTTAGTTATTCTCGCTTCGAACGGCTACTTTCGGCTTGGGAAGCCCACTTCGACGGCGCAGAGAATAGCCTGGCGCATATCATTTGCCTTTCAATCAAGCCTGAATACATATGGAACAACGAGTCGCGACGACTGGTGGGGAGAAGCAGTAGAATCAAACCCTCTAGGGGGAACATATCGGCTAGGGCGCAGGGAACAGATGAGAGGGAAAAAAGCCACCGATTAGACTGATAAACAGATTAGAAGTAAAGTCACTAGAAGGCAATTAGTTGCTATCGCAAGTGTATGCATGACATTCATTATTATCATCAAAAATCAAAAGCTTCTAGATATTCTGGCTTCGATTGTGATTTATGCCACTGTTTGTCTAGACAGCGATGTCATTCCAGAAGTGGAACGCTTTTTGGAGTCGGTTCTACTGCAAGGTAAGATAAGAGCTTTAGAAGCTGAGTCCTTGTTATTCGGTAGGAATGACCGGGTTGTGGTCCGACTGAATGACCTTTAGTGAGTTCGGTCGCAAAAAAATAGAGAAGTATGGCCTGGATGGGTGGGTCACATAGCTGTTGGGACTTGCATCCCATCACCTCGAATTGATAGGAGCCATAAAAGGGTTTCATAGCTAATTATTGATGCCAGTGACCCTTTCAACTGCTACTGCGATTTCAGGTGGGAGTGACGTGCATGGCTCATCCCAGAAGCCCTAGATGTATTGTCGAATAAACATAAAGCAAGCTCAAAAAATGTGTTCCAGTTATCGACCAGCTAATTCAGTGAGGTGACTCGATAGCACACATAAAGTATAAGATGTCCAATATTGATTGATGACTTGGGTATACGCCGCGCCTTCAGCATGCACCATCAATTGCAAACGCATGTGAACACGTTCCACTCACACAAACGGAATGAATCATGTGACGCGCATAGAATGGAGTTGTTATGCCTTGTGAGGGGTCCGACTTAGCGTCGACCATCCGTTATCACTGCTCGAAGGGCCAGAGGGCCATGTTTGGGATTCTAGGAGGTGGAGGGGGTTATTATTTGGACATAGACAAGAGTAGCTATCTTTGGGAAAAGTACGAATGAGGGCTGCCTTGCGAAACGCGGAAGGGTCGTGTTTCTGGTGAAAGGGGTCGTTTTTAGTGGGTATTGATGATGTTAGGGGAACATTGCGAAAGAAATGGAAAAATTCAAAGGATTAGCGGCGTGTCAGACATATTTACCCCTCCTCCCCTCCTCTTGCCGAACGGCCATTCTGAAAAGAAAAGTGCGCGGAGTTGGGCTGTATCAGCTGGCCCCAGAATCCAATACTATAGAAACAACCACGATGGTGGAGTGGTGACCGCAATGGGACTGGAGCATCCTCTGAGGTTGCTGGTTGTTCCTGGGAGGGGTGTCGGGCCAGCGACCATCTAAGTAAGAGAGCGTTGAATTTCTGGGGTTAATCGCGAGGTTGGCCTCGCCCGATTCATCGGCCTGCTGATCGCATGCTGCCCTGGAGCGTTTTCCACTCCCATCGAGGGCTAACTCTTTAGCTGTAAAAACAGTAGTCCGGAAACCTACCACTGTGCCAGTAGGAGATCTCAAGGTAAACAGAAACATATTTGCAGCCAATGGAAGCAAAAGCCCAGAGTGGCCTCAGACGGCCAACACATATTTATGGATGACTCGCAAAACTACTGCGGATTAGTAGATTATGCGATTCAGCAGTGGCGAACGGCGGGCGCCGTTGATTTTTCGACCGCAGCGGAAAAAACTGCGCTGAACGGCGATCACTGGAAAATGTTAATCGTATGCACGCAAAGCATTCGTGCGTGTTGGTGCAAGCAGCCAGAGACAGCAGTGGTTTTGACTCCGTTGGAGCTCGGATACGGTGGCTGGGGAATGTCGCCAAGTTGAAGTCCGCAGCACATCCTTGGGGCGTCTCCTGCTTCGACTAGCGCAGTTTTTCCCTTCTTTGACCCTGTCCGTGGAATCCTCCTTCAATTTCTTTGCACCAAGTGAGAGCGGCCTTCGGTTCATTAGGTGGGTTAGGCCTAAGCCTAAGGTTGGTAACTTTCGAAACGAGTCTATGTGAAGTTGGTCAAGAGCTCACCTACTGAGAGCATGCTAATTGCATGAATTCTTGTCATGAGTACGCGAAAAAAATGTAACGAAAGTCGACGTCAACTTGAGGAACCGCTGGATTTAGGTTGGGCTTCGCGTGTTCCTTCCTGCTTCCACCAAATCGGCGGAAGAGGTGTTGCTGCTCTGACTATAACTACCAGGCACACGGTCTGGGAATCAACGCCTGATTCGGATTCCTTCCGTCCGGACTTGCGAAACCCTCCGCTCCGCGTCGAGTATCGGGGATTCTTCGGCTGCCCCCGCCGCCACCTCACTGCAAGGGCCAAGTCCCTCAAAATGCTATAACGATCTCTGATCAATAAGTAGAACGCATACAGGTCGGGGGCAGACAAAGGGGCTGTATCAACACCGATGAGTCAGCTTGATCTCTCCTCACTTTTACTTGAAGCCACGATGCACGAGAGGAAACAATGAGTTAATTTGTAGCGATAACGCAACGACATAGCAAAAGGATGGCTCGCGAGGGGAGCATATTCCGCTTACAGAACCTCGAGTGTCAGTAATTAGTCGCAAGGAATCCCAACGTTTCAAAATTTGTTTTTCTCGAATCTTCGAAAGCCAAGCGTATTCTTTTACAGTCTCGATTATGTGGGGCATCGATGTTGCCCTCCTTTGTCGTGTTCAAGACGCAGGCCGCAGTAGTCCTAAAATTTTGCATTTCAGCGTCCAACCGGATCGCCCGCGGTCTCCAGGAAGCCAAATCCCGTCTCCTAGGCAGGAAGCATTAACGACATCACTAAGCCTCTTCTACGATATGCGTATAGGCTATTTCACTACGGAATGGTCGGAATAATAGGTCTCCAATCCACTCGAGAGGAATCCTAGCAACACAACAGTACTTCGGAGGGCTTTTCTGAGAAGCCTTATTACGCTCGAGTCGGCCCTTGAGGTAAGGTGAGTTTTCGGGTTGAACACCGTTGTACGAACTCGACCGTTAAAGATGAAGTTCAGGAACGATGTGCTCCGTTGCGCTTCGCGTCACAGCATTCCCATGCTTCTGGATCTCTCGCAGGATAAAACTCTCATGATCAGTTCAGTAGTTCTGGCTCCACGATCCCCCATCCCCATCTTTTCTGCCTGATGGAGCTAAGTTACCGTGATTTGACTCGCAAGGCTTCCCTTATTCCAGTTCTAGTGCCCGATGAAACAGAATATACGAACTCATAGAAGATTAAATCAGTTTTGGTGCAAGAAATGGTCCAAGTAGAATGTTTTGCCTATTTCAGGTGACTCCCGGTCTGTCCTGCACTTTCACCAAATTCAATGGTGCACGTTGACCAACGTTGCGACAGCATTCTTCACCGTCGGCAACTCCACCTTCGAAGATTGTTCCAGGAAATGCTTTGAGACCCCAGACTGCACTTCATTCGTTTTCGATCCAATGGTTTGTTTCCAGTTGACATTCTCTCTCATAATCGTCAGAAAACCTTGTTTTGAGGCTTCGGAGTGCAACGTTAACGTTCCTGGAAATGGTGAGTCAAAACTGTTCGGTACCTATTACCCAGAAGTCTACCAGTTCCATCAAAACGTATTCAATACGAGTTGCCCAACGGTGAAACAGTGGATGGCGCAACGAACAAACGTTGCCAATTGAACCCAATCGTGATAAACTTCTGCGCGTTGCAATTGCCAGTATTTTCCTCTCTTTTCTCTCCTGCTTTGTCGTTGTGTTGTACCGGTCGTGCAAAAATTTCGGGTGGTCCTCCTGTCCTGTTTAGTTTGCTTAATAAAGAGCTTTGGCACATTGTAATCATTCCATGCCAATCTGTAGATTTCACTGCTGAGAATTGTTCAGAAATCAGAAAGAATGACAGAATTGTATGGGTGCAAAAGAGGGACTGATCAGTCTCTCCGAGCAGCGCCATACAATTCCACACAGCGGCATTTCAAGAGTGTGTTGGTCTATGCAATGACTTGTGGGTAGCGCCGATATAGAACTCAGTGTAACTGTCCATCCACACAAATCCAGCAGCAATTACCCGACCCGGAGGGCTGTAGGCTTTGCTAGTCTAGACTGCGTACGGTATAGATTTCGATCCTCACACCCGTGTGCGTAGTAAGTGGCGCAACTTGCCACCACACCACCTTGAAGCGACATATATTAGGGGAAAGTCACAACACTGCAGATTGTCCCTCCTTCATTTTCATTCATCGGTGAGTTTCAAAGGGTCTTTCTGCAGGTAATTACCATCGAAACTGAGACAGCACTTCATCATTTGAGTGATCGGTCTAATGTCTCTATGGTCGGTTTGGTAAGCTGTAGTAGTATCAGTCAGCATCAGACATTCTTGTTCCCTCAAATCTCTCCCTTCCGCTCGCTACCCTGTTTGACACCACTTCGAGTTTAGACGCGAGTTTGAAGAGTTCATGTCGGCAACAGAATTCGAGTACCCTGCAACCAGAGTCAACCCTGCGTTGCGCAGTTTCTCAACGGCCACGTTGCGCAGTTTCGCCCGATTAGACACGTTCTCTCGCGCGAACATTCACACTCGCATGCTCGAGCCGTCTGCGTCTCCGCCCATACAGCGTGCGTTGAGGATCTCTCAACGTGCCGTTGC